CTCCACGGCCCGGCACCGGTCCGCGGACCGGGGGTTGGGGACCACTGAACTAGATCACACGGAAGAAAGACCTTAGTGATGGAAGGGATCTGGAATCAATTTTGCTTAGCTCTTTTGAGATCTGGTTCAAGAATGGGACACTGATGGTGAAAAGGATCATTCATAGACTCATAGGGCTGGAAGGAAACTTGGTGGTCTTCTAGTCCAACCCTCTTCCCAAGGGGGGAGCCCCTTATAGCATCCAACCTTCTTCCCAAGGCGGGAGCCCTTATAGCATCTCAGAGAAATGGCTGCCCAACTTTTTCTGGAAAACCTCCAGCGATGGAGAGGCTAACTTTTCCACTGATTAACCTTTCTCACTTTCAGGAAATCCCCCCTTATTTCCAGTTTGGAGCTCCTTATGATAAGTTTCCATCCATTGCTTCTTGCCCTGCCTTCAGATGTTTTGGACAATGAATTGACCCCTTCTTTTTTCTGACAGCCCATTAAGTATTGGAAGACTGCTATCATGTCATGTCTCCCCTCATTCTTCTCTTCGTTTGGCTAAATATACCAAGTTCCCTTAGCCTTCATTTTGCAGTTTAGCCTTCAGATCCATGGTCCACCAGTAAAAATTCCCAGTTTTACCTTGGGAATTTGATAGCCCCCAAGCTGTGCATTTTGGATGGGTGTGTGAGCTACTCCGAGAGGAACAACAGTTGTACAGCGCTGGATTTCATGAATGACGGCATTTGTGTATGGCAGTTTTTCCCGATCTTCATATTTCAGGTTGGAACTACTTCCCAGAAAAGCATCTATTTCCTTCTGGCATTTCTCTGCAGTGCAAATAAATTAGTTAATGAGGAGTCTAAGGAAGGGGACATCAACAGAATGATGCAGTCATTGTTCCCTGGGAAGAAGGACTGAAGCGTTTTTAAGGGCAGAAAAATTAGGTAACATTCAGAAGATAATCTGAAAGTCACCTCCATAATTCACTGGAGTAGAAGAAGGGGAGGATATCCAGCACAATGAGATGTGCAAGACCAATCAATCACAATAGAGCTAGAAGGGACCTTGGAGAGTCCAACTCCCTGCTCAAGTGGAAGAATTGGATTTTCTGGTCTAGTCTATGTAGCAGAGTTGATAATTATTTTGTCAAGTGCAGGAAATGGCAATTCAAAAGAATATGGGTTTATTGCATGCTAACTCAATGTACAAGAATCTGAACTGCTAATGGTCAAAGCAAAATGGAGTTAGATAAGAGTCAATGGAACTGAAAGTGGGCAGGACTTAGAACTCTTGTGGGCACGAAGGGACTCAAGATTGATGACACACTTGACCCCTCCCTCAGGCGCAGCCTGGTCATCTCCTATTTACATTTTTGAAAACTTTACATTGATTCCCCATCTTTTGTGTCCTTCTCAACTTGGTGCTCTCCTTGAGTTGTGGGAGAACAATTCATCTCTACCTGGGAATTCTAGCTACTAAAGTTCTAAACATTCCCAAAAGATGAATCTGTCTAAATCCAAATGAAGCTTTTAGAGAGGTCCAGAATCACTATCTCAAGACCCATCCTAATCAGCTGAGAAGATATAGGTAAGTAAAGCGCAGGGGCAGGCAGGCAGGCACACCTGATCATTGGAGCAAACCAGCTCGCTCCCCAGCTGATCGTCGGAGCTACCGGTTTGCCAGAATTGGTGCGAACCAGCTAAATCCCACCCCTGTTTTGCATGATTAATAGAAGGAATCTTCGTCATTTGCTATTTCCATACCTTGGATATCTGGAAAGGCTACCAAATAGAGCATTGCCCATTGAAGTGATACAGACGTTGTTTCTGATCCAGCAGTCAAGAGGTCCATCAGTAAAATTAGTAATTGTTCTTCTTCAAAACTTGAACCTTTCTGCTCTGCCTTTTATGAGTTAAAACAAAGAAAGAGAAAATAGTCCTCAAGGTACATGAATCAGCCCTGAACTATTTGTTCAGTGATGGTTTGAGATTATGACAGTACTGAAATTAATGACTTAGAGACTATTCTCACACTTATGACCATTACAGTATCCTGCAGCCACATGAACAAAATTCAGACACTTGGCAACAACATGTACTTATGACAGTTGCAGCATCCCAGGGTCATGTGATCAGCATTTAGAGTAGAGTAGAACAGAACAGAACAGAATAGAATAACAGAGTTGGAAGAGACGTTGGAGGTCTTCTAGTCCAACCCCCTGCCTAGTCAGGAAACCCTACACCACTTCAGACAAATGGCTATCCATTGTCTTCTTAAAGACTTCCAGTGTTGGGGCATTCACAACTTCTGGAGACAAGCTGTTCCATTGATTAATTGTTCTAACTGTCAGGAAATTTCTCCTCAGTCCTAAATTGCTTCTCTCCTGGATTAGTTTCCACCCGTTGCTCCTTGTCCTGCCCTCAGGTGCCTTGGAGAATAGTTTGACTCCCTCTTCTTTGTGACATCCCCTGAGAGTTTGGATCGCTGCTTTCTAGTTTCCCCAAGTTCTTCTTTTTATTA